AAAAAAAAAAAAAAAAAAATCCTCCCGCAGGTTTGTTTGCTACTCCATACTGCATGATATTCTGTTTAACGCACCTTTTTTAATATAAGGAAAAAGTTGGCTGAATGAAAGTAGATCTTTTTAATATTTAAAACTGAGATTACTCATTTACATCAATCTGAAATCACCAAGTTTATGTACTGCAAATAACCCTCAGCTTTAAGTCAGTTTTATTACCAAAAATAAACTCTAAAATTACTGCACCTGAGAAAATAGCTAATCCCTTTATCCTTGAGTTAAAGTGGAAGCCAAAGGAATCATGAAAATGACTAAATATAATTTCTTCAGCTCAACATAGTATTTATTTTTTAATTTTTTAAAAATTTAGTTCAATTTGTAGTTACTCATTCTATATTAATAATTAACATATGAAACATGTAAAGATGTCTTTAAGGTAAAGAACCTTAAAACTTACGGTGCAATAATGGCTCTAGCAGGTCTTTTTGTAGACTGTACTTGTGAGAGCCAACCTTCTAGCTGTGCGTTCAGCTGCGGTCCTATAAAAAGAGAAAGAGGGAAACTGGAGTCAGCAGAGAAATGTACTATATATAACTATATGTGACACAAAGCCCTCACTGAACCTATTTAGGACTAAAATAGCTTAATGGGCAGTGGGATCATTAGCTAGGATGATAATGTTTGAAAGTTAACCAACTACTAAGCAAGCCATAGATAAGATCATGTACTGATTAAACAATATTTGCTTTTATCCATTTACTTATTTATATCCGTCTTCATTCCAGAACTATTCAATCTACAATTTGAGGCACTGTTTAAACAAAACAAGAAACAAAAGACTGTTGGCAAATGAAAAGAAAATACCCAAGTGATTGTTTTCAGAGTGCCAAAACTTGCTTAAGTCACTAAAATCACATCCATGGAGTGATCACTCCCACACCTAATACCTTTCCCTCCTATCCATTCCAGCCCCTACTCCGCTGACCACATTAATAACCAATGACTATGCCATGTCAAAAATCTCAATTTCAGTTGCCTGGGTGACTCAGTTGATTGAGCATCCAACTCTTGATTTCAGCTCAGGTCATGATCACATGGTTTGTAAGTTCAAGCCCCATGGCAGGCTCTGCACTGTCAGTGAGAAGCCTGCATGGGACTCTCTCTCTCTCCCTGTCTCTCTGCCCCTCCCCCATCTGTACTCATGCTCGCTCGCTCTCTCTCTCTCTCAAAAATAAGCATTTAAAAAAATTTTTAAGTAAAAAACAAAATAAAATACATTTTTTAAAAATCTCAATTTCAGGGTGCCTGGGTGGTTCAGTTGGTTAAGCGTCCAACTTTGGCTCAGGTCATGATCTCGTGGTTCATGAGTTCGAGCCCCGCATGGGGCTCTGTGCTGACAACTCAGAGCCTGGAGCCTGCTTCAGCTTCTGTGTCTCCCTTCCTCCCTCTCTCTCTCTCTCTCTCTCTCCCTCTGCCCCTCCCCCGCTCATACTCTGTGTATGTCTCTCTCTCAAAAATTAAAAAAAAAAATGTTTTTATTAAAAAATCTCAATTTCAATCATCCCACTCGCCTCACATCCTATCTTTCCAGTTCACTTCTAGAAATCTGTTCGTTCCCAACAGATATGGAGTTACTTTTCCCACTATCCTTCCTCTCCTTTCTTCTTCACCTCTTAACCCAGCCTGAGACTTGATGATCCATCACTACAATCATTTCCTTGCCTTTGCTCTCAGTCTTGTACCTCTCTTCCTCCATCACAGTAAAGTCATAGTTAAAACCATCTTTCCACTTGACACAGTACCTTCACCTATATAGCTGAATGAGATAACAAAGAAATACAACCAAATGAACTTTGAAATTATGCCCATAAACTTCAGCAGACCCTTAGGAAAGCTCAGAAAACATATTACATTAACTTAGAGAATTTGCTCTCTCAGCCTTAAGACAATCACTTCATAGAGCTTTCCATTTTATCTTGAACTCTCATCCCCCTCTCACTCCCAGATGATCATGCTTTTCAATTTGTCAAAGAAGGGGCACCTGGGTGGCGCAGTCGGTTAAGCGTCCGACTTCAGCCAGGTCACGATCTCGCGGTCCAGGAGTTCGAGCCCCGCGTCAGGCTCTGGGCTGATGGCTCAGAGCCTGGAGCCTGTTTCCGATTCTGTGTCTCCCTCTCTCTCTGACCCTCCCCCGTTCATGCTCTGTCTCTCTCTGTCCCAAAAATAAATAAACGTTGAAAAAAAAAATTTAAAACAAACAAACAAACAAAAAAAATCAATTTGTCAAAGAAAATCAGAAGATGGCCAACCATCCTGGTTTACCCAGGACTTTCCCAGTTTAAGCAATGCAAGTTCTGCATCTTGGGAAACCTCTTAGTCTCAGGCAAACTTGGACATTAGTCACCCTAAATTCAGAAAAGAACTCCTTCCCCTTTCGACCACTTACTCTGCTTTCTCTCCTGTGTCAACAAATGGTCCTTACTCCTATCAAAAGCCAACAAATTACTTCTGCACTGGGTACCATTGTTTTTCTTCTCAAGGACGCTGCTCTTTTGTAACTATCCCAGTCTTCCTACACTAACTTGGTCCCTTTTTACTAGATCATTACCATTAACATGCAAATATATAAAATAAGCAGACTGATTTCCCCCAACTACCACTCATTTCTCTGGCCCCCTTTTTCTCTTTTTTTTAAGCTTTTGATCATAACATATTTAAACATTACAAGAGAATCTAGATAATAATAAAACAAACACCCATGTAACCACTGTCCAAATATAACATTCTTATTTGCTTAAGATCTTCCTTTATTAAAAAATAAAATATTACACAGTAGAAAAAATTGCTGAGCCTATTATATATTTCCCTCCTTAGAGGTAACCACTTCCTGATTTTGGTGTTTTTCATTGCATTACAGTTTTACTAATATATATACCTATAAAACTATGCATTTCTCTGCACAGCTATTGTTCTACATGTTTTAAAATATTAAATAAATATATTGTGCATATTCTTTTATAATTTGAGTTAGTCACTCAACATTGTAAGTTATTCATGTTGAGTTTGTAGCTCTAATTCACTCACTCTCAATACTGTTAGTATTGTGTGAACATACCAAAATTTACCTATTCATTCTCTTCACAGACATTTGATTGTTTCCACAGCTTCACTGTTAATACTCAATGTTACAAGTCTCTTATAAACATGTATTAAGAGTTTCTCTGGGATTTAACTAGAAACAAAAGTACTGGATCATAGAGTAGGCACATCTTCAACTCTACCAGAACACTGCAAACTAAATTGCCCACTAAAGTGGCCAGATCAATTTACCCATCAGTGTAAGGGCATAAAAAATGAGAGCTTTAACTCTCCCTGTTAAAACTAAGGGAAGAGAGGGACACCTGGCTGGCTCAGTCAGTGGAACATGTGACTTTTGATCTCGGGGTCGTGAGTTGGAGCCCCACGTTAGGTGTGGAGCCTGCTTATAATATAATATAATATAATATAATATAATATAATATAATACAATACAATACAATACAATACAATACAATACAATACAATACAATATAATACAATATGGGTCATCTGGTTAAGCATCCAACTCTTGCTTTCTGTTCAGGTTATGATATCACAGTGTATAAGTTAGAACCCCACATCAGGCTCCACACTGTTAGTGTGGACCCTGCTTGGAATTCTCTCTCTTCCCTCTCTCTGCCCCTTCCCCACATTTGCATGCTCTCTCTCAAAACAAATAAATAAGCTTTAAAAATAAATTAACTACATAAAATCAAACAGGGAAGAGATACCCCACACATTTTTCTTAGAGCACTTTCTCTAGAAAGCTTGTAATTGTAAATTCTTTCTTTATCCCTTTGAAATATATGTATATGTAAATCATTTTAAAAGCTAAATAAGCTTCTATCCCCTCCACCCACCCCAGCTGGGGCTCAGTCAGTAGATCATGAGACTTTTGATCTCAGGGTCATGAGTTCAAGCCCCATGTTGGATGTAGAACTTACTTTTTAAAAAATTAAATAAGTAAATAACTATGTAAATGAAAAAACAAACAAATAAATAAGCAAGATTCTAACCAGCACCCCAGGACTATCTTAAGGACCTAATAACCACTTCTTTGAAATGTTATTTGCACAAAGGAGAGAGCACCCTCTTTCTGCCAGTTTCTGTGGGAAGACATGAGCACTAAGTAGCCAGCCACCTACCTCCAAGTTGCAAAAGATTCAAGTTTATTTTTAGCCAATTAACAAATATATATGGTCACCCCAATTACCAAGAGATTTAGGATAAGCCACATGTGAGAAATGCTGCTATCAAGTTCTCTTACTTGAGCACTACTTACAATTTATCTTGACAACATGTATGTAATGAGTTGTATCTGCTTGGCTATAGAAAAGCATGAGCTCTCCTTATATCTTTGCAATCTTTTAGCAGATTGCCTGTAATGTGCTTCACATTCTGGCTCAATGCTTACTCAAGAAAAAAAAAATTTCTTTCTCTTCTACCTTTGAAGAGAGGTTTTTCTGAAATAGAGGCTTTGGCTTAAATTATATTTCTCCAACATCAGCAAGGCTCAACAATTTGCATTTCTCTTCATCCTTACAAATATAAGATACTGTCAAATTTTTTAACTTTTTGGCAAATTATGGGTATGTAATAGTATCCCTTTATTAAATCCTATTTGTATTTCCCTGATATCCACTCAGATTAAACATCTACTGATTTGGATATCCCTCTGTATATATATTAAGGACTATACACATAAAAAAAGTTTATAATGAACAGCCCCATTATTAAAATACCAAAGTACAAAAAAGTTCTGACTTCAGCAAATATTGTGGTTTGTTTTAAAATTTTAACGTTTTTAAAGTTTATTTATTTATTTTGAGAGAGTGAGAGCAAGTGGGGAAGAGACAGAGACAAGGGGAGAGAGAGAAAGAGAATCCCAAGCAGGCTCTGCACTGTCAGTGCAGAGCCCAAAGCAGGACTTGAACTCACAAACCATGAGATCATGACCCGAGCCAAAGACACACGCTTAACCGACTGAGCCTCCCAGGCACCCCTAAAAACTTAAATTTAAGGACAAATACCCCCAAAAAATTATATTACATAATCTCATTAACTGAAGGAAAAATAGTTCAGATTTTCAAAGTAAATTTTTAGCTGCCTAACAAATTTCATACTAACTTAAAAAATATTGCTCTAAATATTTCCACATTATAGAAAGTTTATAAAACAGAAAATGAATAATGGATAAAAGCAAAGAACATATTATCTCCCAATTTAGGCACTCTACTGCCATCAACTTCAGTGATTTTAAGCTCTAAATCAAGCTCTCTTAGCAGTCTTTTTATTAAAAGACCAATTTCCTCAGAAGGATCCTAAGGTAAAAGCTAAACTCCAAGTTTCTTAACTATCTTTGAATAAGATAACTGAGCATATCTATTTATTACATATGGTTGCTTAATTGTTGATCTACAAAGTGTCAAGTAAAAAAATGAATTCTTCCAGAGAGGCTAACTGATACTTGGCCATAAGGTATCCTTACTTAATACAAGATGATGATGAACTATTGCTTTATTTTTCAAATACCACTGGATTTGAAGGCACACTAATGAGTAGGAAAATCAAAAGTACTATTACTTAAATAGCTATTAAATAGTTTTACTATTTAATGGCTGTGTGATCTTGCCCTGAAAGGGATAAATGGGTATTTACTTCTTGGGATAAGATACTAAAAGTAGGTTCCCAAAGTATCAATGCTCAGGTATTTCCTTAGGAAACAGACAATAAATAATGGGCTGTATTTACTACAATGTAACTTATTAACACTTCTGTTTTTATCCTTCTTGAGTTAAACAAGTTCACAAGCAAGTTTATTCTCATGGTGACAAAACTAAAGAGATACTACACACACACACACACACACACACACACACACACACACACACACACACCCACCCACCCAATCCTGCTCTTCCTATGCAACTGACACAATTCTAAGATATGTAATTGAGTAAGCCAAATTGGTTTTCTACACTTTTCTGTTTGGCCTACTGAAGAATAAGATATTTTTCTTTGCAAATAAAAACTTTCAGTGGTCTCCTCACTCTGAACAAAACTCCTGTGTTCTGTAAGCTCTTCTCTTTTTCTACTGAATAAATTAACACATCAGAGGGTTCGTTATGACCAATAATGTTCTAACGTCACAAATAACTTTGCCGTCATTTATTAATTGAATGAATATTTACGGAACACCTATTTATGTGCCAAGAAGTGAAATGGATGATGCAGTTACAGCACTAAAAGGACAGATGCGATGCCTGCCTCCATGGAGCCTCTGTCGGTGTCTTAAATCCAAAGAATGGCTCAAAGACAAAAACTTCAGACACCAGGACAATCTAGTAAAGGAGACATTTTTGGTTAAAAGAAGAGACTTCTAGAGTTGCTCAAAGTATCTCATATATATCAAGAATGACCAACTGCCACAATTTTTTTACCATTAATTTTTAAGTGGTACCTGCCCAGTGACACAGTAAACTTAATTCCACAGGATTGGTTAAGGCAGAGTAACACGAGACAAAGCAGAAGCAAAAAATACAAATCCAAACACAAGTATGCTGTCAGATTTTGTTATCAATCATTCTGTGAAACCTCTTCAAAGTAAAAAACTAATCTGTGATCAAAAATCTACAAATAATAAGAATTTATGCTAGACTTTTTATAACAGTGGCTGCTAGATCTCTGAGTTTCATAGGCCAAAAAAATTTCAAAAAAAAATGGGGGTAACCAACACACTAATTTTTATTTAACAAGAAAGGACACTTAAAACATATCAGCCATTTATCTACGATCACCATGACTTCATAAAATAAATAACACCAAAAAGTAAGATGAGTACAAAGTAAGATAATCCCAGTCCTTTAAACTGAATAAATTAACCACATTTCGTTGAATGTGTTAAAGAAAGAGAATCCCAGTGTTAAAGTGCATCATTTAAAATAGAGACTTTGGCTTAAATTATATTTCTCCAACATCAGCAAGGCTCAACAATTTGCATTTCTCTTCATCCTTACAAATATATGATACTGTCAAAATTTTTAACTTTTTAACTGAACCCAGTGTTAAAGTGCATCAGTGTTAAAGTGCACCATTATGTACCACTAAGAAAGACAAAAATACTCCCAATTAAACTAGGACACATGGCGTCTTATCACTTAGAATTTATTTACTAAGAAAGCTTTTTAAAACTTACCGAGATATGAATTATCAGAAACATTCATGTTTGTATTTGAAAAAGCAAAATAGGAGCACCTGGTGGCTCAGTCAGCTGGACATCAGACTCTTGATTTTGGCCTCCATGCAGTCAGTACAGAGCCCGAAGGGGGGGGGTCTAGATCTCACAAACCCATGAGATAATGACTTGAGCCAAAATCAAGAGTTGGTCACTCAACCCACTGAGCCACCCAAGCACCCCTCAAAATATTCTTAATGTCTTCAAATTCACAATCTGATATCTAAATTGCTTTTTAACTCACAGTCACTGGTAATCTTTGCTTTTCCATAAAATCATCCTCTGTACCATTTATGGAATTAGTGATGCAATATTTATTTTTTTATCCTTTTTTTTTTTTTAAGAGAGAGCAAGCATGAACAGGGGAAAGAAGCAGGGAGAGAGAGGGAGGGGGGAGGGAAGGAGGAGAAGAGAGAGGGAGAGAGAGAATGAATCTCAAGAAGGCTCCATGCTCAGCTCTGAGCCCGACATGGGGCTCGATCCCACAGCCCTTGAATCATGACCTGAGCCAAAATCAAGAGTCCAAAGCTCAACCAACTGAGCCACCCAGGTGCCTTAAAATATTTCTTGTAAAAGTGTTCTTCTATTGTCTCTGGGACTCGTGTCCAAAAAACTGACACAAACTGTCCAAGTTCCCATGCCATACATTTCTTGATCTTATGAAAAGTGTCACCAGAAAATGTAACTAACGAAAGGTTTCAGAAGACAACCCAGGAATGGTAATCTCTTCCACAAATGGTCCTTAAATGCTATGTTAACTAAAACATCAAGGGGTCACAGGTGTCCAGTCATAGAAGCAGAATGAATTCTTGAGTTCACATATATGTAGACAGTGGCAACTATTTCACAACCAACAATAATGTCAAGGTGCCATTGATTATAAAACATATCAATTTCAGAAATGTTAAAATGTGGGAATATATACATCTTAAAATTGATGAAATGCAGTAGGCACTATAAAAACTACACTCACTACAATGTTCTGATTTTTTCCTTTTATATCAGTGCAGAACAGCAAAAATTATATTCATCAAAGACCAACATTTGGGACCACTGCTTCTCACTACAATGAAAAGTGCTTTGAGAAGCCTTACCAACTATAATAATCTCATTTAATTTTAAGTAAACTTTCAGTTCTCCCTAAATCCTTACTCTCATTATTGATGCTGTATTGTAACCACATACCTAAAATTTATTGTTATGCTATTTATAAAACTTAGTATCTTATTTTTAGATACATCTAAAGAGATACTATTTGTTTTTATGTATCTATGATAGGACTAATCACATAGAAAATAATATGCTCTTGGGACCACAGGCATTGCCACACTGAATCTAACCTAAAACTATCCAGAGCATTACTATATCAACCCAAAAGAAACCTTTGCTGTGAAGAACAATGATTATTCTCTTTAATAAAAACCTTAAAGTTTAGGCCAAATCCAAATATCTTGGATTCCTTATTACCCACCAATTTATTTAAACATTTTAAGAATTTACCTACATTTTTAAAACTCTAATTCAGAATACAATTGCATTAGAGCAATTAATCATTCAAATAAATGTTTAGTGTGTACCAACTCTTATATTTGGCCAACCGGAAATTACGTCCCACTCTTCTACCCACTCATATACAGTTTCTCACAATTTTCACAGTTAATACCAATTCCATTGGCATTTCATATCTAAAAAGGTTGCAAATTTGGAAGATAACAGTGTATTTCTCCCTCCAAGTCACACAGAAAACTGTCATCTGAAAATAGGTTTAGCAGTAATCTCTTTAACAGTCTATGAATTTGCATTGTCTATTCCTACTCCCATTCTCCGTTTATAAACAAATTCCCTATCCCTAACAAATGAGGGCACTTAGGTGGCATAGTCAGTTGTGTATCCAACTCTTGATTTCAGCTCAAGTCATGATCTCACAGTTCATGGTATCAAAACCCACAGCGGGACCAGCGCTGACAGCACAGAGCCTGCTTGAGATTCTCTCGCTCCCTCTCTCTACCCCTCCCACGCTCACACAGATGCTCTCACTCTTGCTCTCTCTCTCAAAATAAACTTAAAACAAAATGTGACCCAAAACTGCATCCGTTCATAATTATGTATGACAATGCCTATTTCACCAAAACCTCACCATTCCCTTCAAAGTAATATTTTGAAAGATAAAGTAATTTAATTCATGCCCCCATTTGATAAAAATTAAAATCTAATGCCCTTATATTTGGCATTTCAAATTAAATTAAATATTCTATTTCTTTAACCAAAGAAATGTTAGTTAACTTCTAAGAAAAATGTATTTGGACTTCTAAGATACTTATTTCTACTTGGATGGTAGAACAGCAACGTGATTCTTGCCAGTCACAAGTTTCCCATTACCAATGTTCAGCAAACAACTACTATCTATAGGCCTTTACAGAAGACAAGTTCAATTCAAAATCAAGCGTATTATGCTGCATCATGCTGCTGTTTTAAATTACAATCCTGAAGATTTTGACATGCTTCTACCATTAAATTTTCTAACTAATGGGGTTTCTCCTTCAATAGTCAAAAAGTGGTCTACAGACCAGAATCATCTGATGTGTTTACCTAAGAAAGAGATCTCTAGGTCTTACCACAGAGCATCACAAAGCCATTATCATTGCAATCTCAGGGGATGAAGACATTTTTTTAAACAAGATTTTAACAAGCTCTCCAGGGGACTCCTATACACATTAAAATGTTAGGCCCACTGCCATACATGAGTTTATTTGCCCATGCTATATGAATGAATGTGGCAACAGGCTCTTGGAAGGTTTACAACTGAGATTTTTTCATTACCATAAAAAAAAAAATCACATAATCTTTAAATTAGCAAAATATAAATGGATGAACTTTTACCTCCAAACTACTTTAAAGCCGTAACTTTCATTGTTTCTTAAAATTTACATAAGTTTATTTTTAATGGTGTTTCTAGCCTCCCATTAGGATCAATGCCTCTCCAGCTTTTGCTCTCAAATAACCTTGATGACAAAGTCAACTCAGATTCTTAGAAACTAAGTGACACACAAATTCAAATTCCCTCTTAAATCTTATGTTTTAGTCCAAAAATTCATGACATTTATATTTGTATTACCATAGTAATAGGAATAACTATTTGTAATCTCAAAACTCCCATACTCCTATTTGCAATTTAAATGGAGGCTTCAAGAAGATATACCATGTTTATCCTCTAACAGAGTCAGGTATTCTACCGAGGAAATATGAACCTGAATCATAAAAGGCAACCACCTAAAATGAGAGAAATGCTTAAAATTGGGTCTATAATACTTAATGGGTATCTAACCAAGAATCATTTTCTTCCAATTGCAACTAGTGTGTTTTTCTTCCTTTTTCTAATGTGTCTTTGGGTTATAACCAGTCAGTTGATTGATACTAGTGAATCTGGATACTTTGATAGCAAATCCAAAAACATAATCTGTAGAAAAATAAAACAAGTCTGCCTTATTGGACAGAATCAGGACTAAGGTAACAATTCCCACACAAGGTAACACTTCCTTCACGAAAGAAAGAAAGAAAGAAAGAAAGAAAGAAAGAAAGAAAGAAAGAAAGAAAGAAAGAAAGAAAGAAAGAAAAAAGGAAAAGGTTTAAAGGAAAAGTCAGAATTTTCACTTTTCACATATTTCCACCCCAAAACCGATTTACAGACATTACCACATTCTCACCTTATTCTGTGTAATACAGATCTTCTTCTCTAAGAGCTTTCACTTACAGACTTTAAGCAGAAAAAGGAGATCAGGCCCAGTGGACTACATCAAATGAAACGTGTAATATGACTGCCTATTTGTGAACTGATAGAACAATAGATCTGAAACAATCTAAGTGTCCACCAAAAAAACCCAACCAAACAAACAAAAGAAATGCCTGATTAAATAAATTATAGTAAATCCATGAAGTAGAAGACTAAACAAATGTTAACCAGTGATGCAAATTTTTATGAACCCCTATGGGAGATGTCTTAATTCAGAAGAAAAAGAAAAGCACTGTACAGAACAGAAGGTATAATATATTGTCATTTTGTATGTGCACATATGTGATTATGTAAAATATTTCTAGACGAACATGAAATAAATGGATAAAAGTAACTGCATCCTGACTGAGAGTAGAGTGAAATTATACTTCTCACTGGGTACTTTTTTTGTATCTTTCATATTTTGTACTATGTACATGTACCACCTATCCAAAAACTGAGTACAAAAAAAGATGGTGCATTCATATAACATAATAACATGAAGTTATAAACAATGATGCTGCACCAAGATACGGAAGCAACCTAAGTTCCATGAATTACTGAATAGATAAAGAAGATGTGGTATGTATACAGAATGGAATAATGCTCCATTAAAAAAAAAAATGGCGCCTATAGGTCGCAGCAAAGCCCCGACTTCAGCCAGGTCACTATTCGCTGGGTCCTGGAAAGTTGAGTTCACAAGCCGGGTTTCTGGGCTGATGGTTTCAGAGCCTGGAGCTTCCAGCCCATTTGTACTCCCCTCTCTTCTTCTGTCCTCCCTCAAGCTTCATACTTTGTCTTTCTTTGTCCCTAAAATAAATAAATCAAGTGAAAAAAAAAAAAAAAAAAAAAAGAATGAAATCTTGCCATTCATGACAACACGATAGACCTACAAGGTATTATGGGAAGTGAAATACTCCAGAGAAAGACAAACACCTTTATCATTTCCCTTATATCCAGAATCTAAAAAACAAAGCAAATGAATGAACAGGCAGCGACAACAAAAGAGAAACAGACTGGGTGGCTAGAAACAGACCCAAGAGAAACAGACTGAGCACCTGGGTGGCTCAGTCAGTTAAGCATCCAACTTTTGATTTAGGCTCAGGTCATGATCTCATGGTTCATGAGACTGAGCCCTGCAATGGGCTCCATGTGCTTGAGATTCTCTCTCCCCCTCCTTCTCTCTCTGCCCCTCTTCCACTCACCTGCATGCATTCTCT